CTGTCATTACAATGAGAGCTCCGCGGAGTAACCAGGGGACGCTGAACTGTCATTACAATGAGAGCTCCGCGGAGCCGGCTTTGATATCACGGCCGGCTCCGCTGAGCTCTCATGACAGTTCAGCGTCCCCTGGTCACTAAGTAGAATGCATAGCTAGTACAGCAGCCCTTCGGTTCTGTGCAGCCGGAAAAAAATTGTTATGTTTCGTTTTGGATTTCGTTTGTTTCGTTTTTCTCATTTCGGGTACTCTGTGTGTTTCGTTTCATATTTCGGATTCGGTTTCGGTTTCGGATTTCGGAAACGAATTTCGGTTTCGGATATAGAATTCGGAAATGCGTATGTTGTCCGAACGTGCGCACGAACGGACGATGTTACGTACGTTCGCAGCAGAATTGCCACCGTTGGCATTTCTGGTTGCTGTGCTGTAGTCTTCTTCACTATTAAAGGGACATGAAAATCTTTTCTGAATATTGTTTTATCCCTTTAAACGTTGACCATGCATGATCAGGAACATGATACGATTTAGTAATTCCCAGCCATGATCAATTTTTCTGCCCCTTAAATGGCTTTTAGGGGCTCCGCACATCGTTGCACACCGCCGCACCTCCGCCACACTGAGCCAATCACACTGGTATTATAATATAGCTCTGACATATCCTGCAGTGCTGTACAGGCAACACTGAGCCGGACACATCAATATCTGTACCCTACAGAGGAGCTTACACTCTAATGTCCCCCCACAGTCACATTATTCTCTGTACACAGAGGAGCTTACACTCTAATGTCCCCTCCCCCACCGTCACATCAGTCTGTGTACAGAGGAGCTAACACTCTAATGCCCCTCCCCACAGTCACATCAGGCAAGCTTGGAGCGGTGGAAGGAAAGAAAAAAAAAGTGTGTTGTGCATTGCAATATAATTAAATGTAAAGTGTTTCAAAATAATTATACAGGAATCAATGTACAATGCCACTGGCTATAGTGGACTCAAAATCCCAGAAACAATACATTATACAGCTCTTGGATGGTGGGAGCCACTCATAATGGTCACAGCGG